AGCTTCCTCTTGGCTGTCTCAGTAAAGAGGTCAGCCATTAAGCACAAGTCACAGAGACTTACAGCGCTTTCCCTATCGCAGGGGAAGCCTCTTCAGGGTAGGTGTGAAATGGTGTTAGCTCCGCACAGGGACGGTTTCAGGTGCTGGTGCCTGGGCTGGAGGCTTTCTGGGGGATAACAGGGGCAGCAGGAGTTGAAAAGAAGTAGCTGGTCATAACTCAGGGGTCACAGTTCCCCTTGTGCTGGGTCCTGGATGGCCCAACACTGCTACTCTCTGGTCCCAGTGTGGGGCTGTGGGGTGACTGCCCTTGCCATTTAATTGCATTTGCTTGTTGCTGATGTGATGTTTCTGGGAGCAGAGAAAAACACATGCACTTCTCTCCATGTAGTTTGTATGCTTGTGCAGCTCTCTCCATGTTCTTCTTGCAGCAAGGATTTTCATTTAGTTTTTACAGCAGTGTTTTTCCTCTCCTCTTTCCAATACAAATGAGTAGGCGCGCACACCCTTCTGCCAGTTTTTAGGTCTTCAGGAGTAAAAGCTGAGGTTATGAGAACCTAGAAAGCTTTCTTTGCATCTGCCCACCTCCTGAAATCATAGTTTGCATTTTGAAGGTTGTAGTATGACAGAGCTTTGGCAGACTTGCGTTCAGCTCCCTCTGGCTACAGGGACACAGTTTAACCTTTGATGGAGCTGTGCCTTTTTGGCAGATGTACCACTGATAAGCGGACTCCAGGTTAGTTCCCCAGACTTCCCAAACTTCTCCCCCTTGCAGGTTTGTTTTACCTCGCTTCTATTTTCAGATTTTCCATTAGTCTGATAACGATTCCTGACTATTTGGTTTCAGAAAGGGGATGCTCCGTCAATACCATGGGCCAAAAAAAGTTGTCGAGACAAAATAATGCCCAATAATGGGGTTTATTCTGACCCTTCCTCACTGTTCCCACTGTGTAAAGGGTATCTCATGACTTTTCATATAGTAAAGAAGCTTGAAAGGCGAGGAATGACTGTGACAGCGCTGTCCCCTGGGGATTCGCTCTTGCGGAGCCATCTCCAGCAGAGCCATTGGGTGGAGCAGCCCTGAAGCTGCTCTGCATTAACAAGGAGCCGAGCAAGTCCTTGACCAAGTCTAGAAGATGGGAAGTGCAAAACCGGCTTATGTCCAATTCTGTTCTCACTCTCCCTCCCACACTGAGGCTGACTCAGTGCTTCCCTCCAATCACATAGTGATTTCCATTGCTTTTCTGCGATGTGCTGCGGTAGAAGGTGGGTAAAGAAGGACCAACACGCAGAGCTGGGAAGAGGGATCGCCAAATCCATTGCATTAGTGATGGGAACAAAACTGCTGAGGTCTCTTGCGCAAGAAGCCAGAGGCTGCTGGTAAACCTCAGCATTTCCTGCATTCTATGTTCCTCTTGTGTATCCAGTTACTGTAAGAGGTGAGGAGATGCCATAGGGTTGTAAATCCTAACTTGCCTCCAACTGCTTAGCTCGCTCTTCCCTTCGCTCCTTTGGAGCCAGGTGATGGCTGAGAAATGTGCCGGATTTGGGTCCCATTCAGAAATAAATCATCCCAGCTGGCTGGAAAAAGAGGCAACGAAACTTACTGGGAGGACCAGTAAAATCTGCAGGACTTCTGAGTGTGGGAAATTAGGGGGACAAAGGATGGAAAAAGAGGAACTGGCATGACGCAGAAAGAGTGTGGGTCACCACAGATTTAGGGGTTGAAAGGGAACTTTTGAGACTGTATATGGCACAAACCGCCTCAGATTGGGTAATGGCGGGGGGGGGCTGCTGAGCAAGTGCACCCCGAAATGGGGCAGATGATCTGAGGGCTCTGGTGCTGGGCTCTGTGGACTTGGACTTCTTGCATCCTGCAAATGGAAGGAGCATGCCTTTTGGAAAATGCCAGTTGGCAGAGAAACCTTCCTTTTACCGCTGAGCCTGGGTGTGCTTGGAGAAGGAGAGAGGTGATGTTGTCTGTGTTTAATTGCTAGGAGGAGTCTGTGCTCCACAGCTTTGCTCCGGTCTGGAGGCCAGGGACAGTGCTCACCCTCTGCCTGCCTGCCCTGAGAAGGAACTCCTCCTCCTCCTCCTCCTTCACACCCTCCTGTTGGCAAGGGCTTCCTCTGACCACTCCTAAGGTGCTGTGACTTGTCTCATGTGCTACCCACGTACAGGACAGCCCCCTCCTCTTGAAAGTCAGGAGTCAATGCTGGTATTGTTTTTATTATTTTTTTTAAATTATATTTATTTTAAACAAAGCAGGATGGAGAATTGTGGTTCCCAGAAGCCCAGCCATGGCAAAACAGAGCCTGGCCCAGGGCACTCAGGGTCTGGGAAGGAGAGTCATGCCCCAATGAGGAGTATGACTGTGAAGTGGTCCTGGCTCCGGACCAGGGAGCAAAGGGAACTGAGTTGCTGTCTTCTGGTAGTTCTTGAGCAAATCCCCTCCCTTGGGCCTTTCTTTTTCAGTCTGTCACATGAGGAGTATGATACCAATCTCATCCCACAAATCCTGTGGGACTAACTTCACATAGGACCTTTCATGTGCACCAGGATCCTTCCCTGTGTGCAAGGGTTATTTTCTTATCCAAACACGAAGTGATTAACCGGATTCCTCCCCCTGAGAACTGCGGTGCAGCAGCAGCAGCACCTCCTCTCCTCCCGTGGGACTGACTCTGCCCTGCTCACAGCTGAAGCCTCTCCAGCTGGCTTGGCGTGCACAAATCAGTCTCTGATCTGTCTCCGTGCCTCGCCGGCAGCCAGTGCTAGCAAGAAAGTTCCTGGTGGCTGCAGAGGAGCTGGCAGTTTCACCGCGTGATGCGGCAGGAGGGAATCCAGCCCCTTCTTCCAGAAGTGCTGCAGGGATGGGCGGAGGGAAGAGTGTTAAGAGAGAGTGCAGTCTGGAGCCCTTACGTTTTTGAGGCTGTGAGCGTGAGGGGGGTTTTAGGGTGAGCGGCAGAGCGAGGCTGCAGCGGGGAGAGTGCTGCCAGACACAAGCTCCCTTCCTTCTAGCAGCCATTTTCCAGACTTGTTTGCAGTAGAGATTTCCTCTTCCCCAGACTCTCATGTCATTGTTCCCCTTATGGGGCCTCACCGGTCATTGCCTTGTGGTGGAAAATATGAGGTTGTGGGGGCCAGAGCACAGACATTCCTTCCAGCTTAAAAGGGAAAACAGAGTCCTCACGCAGTGGAGTCCCCGAGAGAGGTGTGCCTGGCTCCATAACTGTTAGCATCGCACTGTAAGAGAAATCAGCTGTTTGGCAGCTGCCTTTCTCTTCTTGATTAGGTTGTGGGTAGAAAAGCCTCCTTCCTCCCAACTCCTGCTTCCCTTTCCTTGCAGGCACCAGCTCCTGCCAGCTCGCTGTGGCACACGAGAAAGCCATGGCTGGTGTGTTGGGCTGCAGTCCCTGTCAGGGGGCCAGGCCATATACCCACTGGGGTCAGTGGGGAGGTAGAGCTCTCTGTATCCACCCCGCCAGTCTCTGCAAGGCGATACTGCCACAGCAGTCTTTTTTGTGGCAGTAGTAGCATCAGACGCCTTCATCTCCCTGACAGAGCCACCGACAAATACCCACAACCAGGCTGCCACAGGCAATGTTGTTTTTCTATGGCCTCATGCAGACGTTGCCGACCTGATGGGCTCCTCTCAATCGCAGAGGTCAGTTAGAGCCTCACCACTCTCACGCTCAATGCTCTGATATGGACACGGCTGGTTCATGGATCACGGACTGAGCAGCCAGCAAGGCAGGAATGGTTACCCACAAATGGGTGAGGTATGGGTTTTGCAGAGAGGGAGCCTCCTGTGACCTCCCAGAGGTGCAGGTCCCTTCCTCTCTTGCCTGCTTGTCTCTGCATCCAGGTTTTCTGGGAACATGCCCTGATTCCCAGCATGGGCAGAGACGTATAGTCTGGCTTGTTTCCCATTAGCAAAAGTCAGCTGCCATGAAATATTCATCTATTAAGTATTCAAAAGCCTTTAAGGGGTTGCATTTTGTTGTGCGATGTACTTAGTGAGCCAGTCCTAGATGTTGGCTCAGAATAGGAAGAGATACAGGGAAAGATTTGGGAAGGGGGGTGGTGACTGGGGACTGGATTGGGACATGTGCTTCTCCGTAGCCAGCATCCCGCAGGGAGCGCGGCAGCTCCCAGCGCTGTGTCTGGAGGGCTGTTTGCAGCCCTGGATTGCAGCTGGCTGAAATACTTCAGTAGTGGAAGCTCCCAGGGATGGATGAAAGCAGAAAAGAGATGGGGTCTGTCCTCCAACGCAAGGAAAACGTTGGGGAGGGAGGACGAGGGTCAGTGTGGGGGAGGCTAAGGGGGGCTGGAGTCACGGCGGGGGGACTGGGGTGAGGGCTGTGAGCAGTAGTGGTGCTGAGACAAGAGGCTGAGCCAGAGGGGTGTTTCATGGGGCTCTGCAAAGGAATTGCAGCCTGGTTCCCTAAGGAAGCAAAGCTATGTCAGCAGGCTGTCTGTGCCCGCCTGTCTCTCGCCTCCAGTGAGTCTTGAATCTATCAGCCTGTTTCCGCCACAGCTGATAAAGCGGTGGAGGCCTCCGAGATAATGGGATCCAGCTGGTTTTTTGACTCTAGGTGACTGGCTTAATGAGAGGGGCCTGCAAAGACATCCCCCCCCCTCCTCCCCAGGAAGGAGTCCATACGCTGCCCTGTAACTAACTGACAGGCCGTGCAGAGAGCTGTTGGAAACTGGGCTTCATTAGTTCTGCTGCTCGCAGGACGGCTTTAGGATTTGGGGGAGGAGGAATCCTGAAGTTTTAATGGTGTATCCAGTGTAGACCTCATGCTGACACCCTTCAAATAGGATGTTGTTAACGCTGTCAAATGTGTCTGGTCACAGTGCCTTGGGGAATCCAGCACTGGTCCAGACTTTGCCTCACAAACATATTTTCTTTGCCTTTTTAACTAACTAGCTTGGGGGCAGCCTGTTTTCGGGCCTTCTGAGCTGCCAATCAACACCTTTGCTGGTCTGAGGCACAGGACATGTACTATGTGCCTCCCAGAGGTAAGGGAGAGGGAGCTCCTGAGGGGCGGGATGGCTCCAGAGGGTGCCAGTTTGGGACTGGGTAACACCAGACCTGAGGAACGGTGCAGCTGGGTCCTGGTGTAACCCTGCGCCAGTGGGTACAGCAAGCTCTGATGGCAGGTTTCCTTCCAGAGTAGAGGATAAGGATCATTCCACAGCCCACTGTGTCCTCCTAATAGCGGCGATGTCCTGGGAGGTAGGTTTTTATCAGGGAGCCGAACTGGGAATTGTGGTTCAATCCCCCCACACTGGGCTTATCTCCATCTTATCTTTGACAACTGAAAATCAAACCTTCCAAGTCAGACTTAAGGGTAATTTGCGTGGGGTTTCTTCCAGAGTCTGCAGATGTCCTGAGGCAATAGCCCTAGGGAAGAGAAATTGCAATGTTTGCCTGACCTATCTATTTATGGCAAACCCATCGTCAGGGGTGCCTGCTCGTTTCACGCTAATCTGCTCAGTTTACGCTGCTGCCAAATTTCCGCCCCGTCACACCAGCGCGTTAGAGGATCCAGGGAGCTGCCACAGGAATTAGGTCAGGTTTGCGGGGAGGGACGAGCGCTTTGCTTGTTAGTCACAAAGGAGAACAACGGGACAAATGTGCTGCCAGAGCCGGCCGCACAAATGGCGGGAGGTGACAGGCTGCCTGCCCATGCGTGCCCTCCAGCAAAACGTGCGTGCTGCCGAAGGAGCCGTTTTGCCTGGAAGCACGCTTGGATGATGGGATGAAATGCACAAGCCAAATGCTTTCTCAGTGCCATCGCTGTACAGGAGTTGCTAAGTTTTCCTGATCCCCCCCACCCCGAGCTGCTCTGTTGCCCAGCCCTCTCTTTGGATATCACAGCAGAACACAGTGCTTCTCCCTCCCAGCCCCATGATGGGAGAAAGGAGGTTTGGGAATCGGGAGACGTGGCTTCTCGTATTAGCTTTCTGCATTGTTGACCTAGCACTTCGTGTCTCCAGATCTTTCTGTGTTGAGGAGAAAACATTGCCAAGACAACAGCTGAACGAAGTGCTAGGTTTTGTGGCTGGATGTTGAGTTGGTTTAGAAATTGTGCAGGCAGCGCTGTTTACAGGTGGCACCTTGGCACGTTCAGAGACCCCTTATATCCCTACTTCTGTGTCAGTCATGGCAGGGAACAGGCAAAAGGGATGTGGATGGGAAGACACAGGAAGGACTGGCTGAAATACATAGCTGCAAAGCTGCATGGAGGGAGTCTATTGTGAGTTGTACTGGTTATATTTGAAAACTTCCTCCCAGCTTTTGCTGCTGCCTTCCCCGAGGCATGAGAATCTGTGCAAGCCTCACAATCCCAGACATCATTTTGGTGCCCTTCGGTTTTGCCTTATCTGTGTAGTACTCAAGTTTGTATAATACATGGGATTGCCTCCCAGAGGAGCTTTCAGTGCTACAGCTCTAGAGCACTTTGATTTCCTTGTACATCAGAGAGGGCAAAAATGCAAAGCCTTGATTTTACAGCAAACAGCACAGAGCATTATGTGAGGGGTCAAGTCATTTTATGGATTGCCACAAACTGATGCCAAAAGAGGAAAAAGACCTAGAGTCGCTACTGATAGCAGAAAAGCTTTTTAGTCGTGTCAGTAGGAGCAGGACAGCAGGTAGTATTTCTCCAGTGCAGCATGGGCTTCTGAGAAAAAGACTTTTGAGATCTCCAAGAGGAGATTTTGTATGGAAGGATGTGCAGAAAACAAAAAGCAATCTGAAGGGTTGTTTTCAAGCACATTAACTCCCCATCTCGCAGCAGGGCGGTCTCCCTGCTCATTTCCCAGAGCATGCGTAATGGCAGAAATCCCTGCTGCTCCCTTCGGGCAGTGGGGCACTGTGGACGTGCAGCTGCTTGCACAGCTCTTCTCTGCAGGTGGAAGCTTGTTCTTCCTTACGGAGGTGTTTTGTCGCTGAACTGTTAATGGTTTCAGCTTTCACAGGTTGGTTGGGAAAGTCCCTATTTCCACCAAGTTATACCAGGCAGTGGTGGCTCAGCAGGAGCCAAGGGAGGGAGCAGCCAAAGGAGAGCCTCAGCGAGCAGCTCCCTTGCAAAGCCAAGGAGCCACGATGCCTCTTTTCCTTCGTGCGTGCAGTCACACATATATCTTGCTGCAGACACCGCAGTGTTTTCATGTAGTCCCACCAGCGCAGAGCAGGCATGGAAGCTCGCAGGACCTCGGGACCCCGTGCAGACCCGGACATGGCACCGTGTGTTGATGTGTTGAGCCATGCCTGGTCCCGGACATGCAGACGCAGGCAGGGGCTCGGAAATGTTCCTGACATCTGTGCTTATGCTGTGTTGGGGGTCTGACTCCTCAGCGCCGGTTGCTGCTAGATAGGAGAAACAGCCCCTTCCCGCTGCCTAATTTTAGCTTTCCACCTTGAGGCCCCTCATTGCCGGTTGCCATGGTAATCCCTCAGCATCAGCGCTGCCACAGGCTTTCTCACCCGCGGATACCTTGGAAATGTCTCTTTTTCCTCCTTGTTCCCCAGGAAGCAACAGCTGAGGCAGAAGCAGTGCGTGTGGCTAGCTGCGCTGTCAGTTCAGGTCTTCTGCTTGGCACTTGCCCGTTCGCATGCAAGAACCCTTCATCCATGGGTTAACACTTCCTGGCCCCCCAAAAGCAGTGTGCGTTCCTGTCCCCATTCGGCAGACGGTCTGGGCTATGCGTACCTGATGCTGCCCGGCCACCCTGAGTTTCTGGCCCGTGAGCCGTGGTGAGCAGCTTTCTCTGTGTCTTTGCCCAAGAAGATGTCTGGGGAGGTCGTTGCCTCTGTGGAGGCCATGGGGTGAAGAATCAGGAGTGCCCCTGTGCTGTGGCAGATGCTCCGGAATCCAGGTGCTCCTGCCCTGGCTTTGTGCTCGCTGCTTTTACACCTTCCTGCTTGCTCTCCGGGCAGCAGAGGAGTAATTAAAAGCATTGCCCAAACAGAGAGAGCTTGGGCAACTTACCCAAGGCAGAAGAGAGGAACTGCCTTGTCACGGCTTGCAGTGTAAATGCCACCGTGCAGCAATTAATAACGAGTCTCTGCCCTTTCCCTTCCGCCTGCCTGAGCGCGCTGTGCACAGGGACAAGTGACACTTCCCAAGCCCACGGTGACAGAAAAGGCAATGACAGCTCACAGGGAGGAAGCAATGTAAAAACCGTGATGCCAGTCCACGAATCCTGAAATTAATTTAAGGGCAGTGACACTGAAACACTGTGGAGTCTTTTCTGTGTGTGACCTTGCATTTAAACTTTTGCAGTTCATGTTTTCAAGCTTTTACATGGTACGTGCGAGGACGAGCTCTTTAATATTGAAGTGGCAGCTGCCATCCACGCTTACTCGCATGACTCCGGCAGATGGAGCTTTATAAAGAGCAAACATAACACGGTCCAAGGTAAGATCAGAATATCTCTCACAAGAAACTAGTTCAGCTAGTAGCACCTGGGAGGTTGCCAGAGAACCAGGAGTGAAGATTATAAAGCCTCATTCACAGACCCCCACCGTACTCATCCATTCGTCCACCGCCATCTCCGTTACGCTCCCAGTTCCGCACAGGAGACTCGGGCATTTGCCGGGAAGGTGGCTGGGAGCAGCTAGAAAGAGCTCCCACCCTGCGGTATGCCGTGAACCACCTTAGAGCTGTGTGGCCGTACCAAGCGGTAGCGGTGGCAACTGCTAACTTCATCTGTGTGCAGGCTGGCGGAGGAAAATGTTTCTGGCTCTTGCAGGAGGTGAAGGCAGGATCTGCAGCAGCAGCTGCTATCACCTGGCAGAAGAGCACACCTCGACCTGCAAAGCAGCAGCAATGGGTCAGGTTGCAGATGCCGGGTAGGGTACATGTAGAGCGGTAGAGGTGATGTCTGGTAAAAGAAGGAGGTGAGAGTCTCGGGGATTTTGGGAGGGGGGCATACGAGTGGAAGGGGCTATGGTTTGTAGGTTGTAGGTGGAGAGAGTACAGTTTGTGGGGCGAGCATTACAAGAGTGGAGGGCACAGGGAGCTGAGTTACTGCTCTGGGAACTGGGGTGGACGCTGAGAGCTGCTTTTACTAAATAAAGGTGGAGCCAGCACCCAGCCTGGTAACTGCTGCCACGGCTGCTGCTGCCGGGAGGGAGGATGAGCATGCTGAGTCTGAGAAACCCTGTGCCAGAGTGAGAGGGCAGGCAGGCAGAGCAGCTCGATTCTTTTCTTTCTCTGGCAAACCCCCGGGGTGGAGACAGCCGTGCCGGGACGTGGCAACCAGCTCCGACCCACTGCCAGCCTAGGACAGCTTAAAACAACAAAAAGCAGCAACTGGCAAACCATATTGCTTTGATTAATAAGAAAAATCAGAGTAACGTGGCCCTCTAGCCTGGCAGGAGGCTGTTCTGGCGGTGTCACCCTGCCAGCATCCCCACCCCAGGTCCCAGTGGGAGAGCTGCGGGATGGCTCCCGGGCTCTGGCAGTACAGGGAGGGAGCTGTGGCCAGGACGGCCGCGTCACAGGCCTGGTTTCCAGCAAACTGTCGAGGGGAGAAGAGTCTTGCATCCCCAGCTCGTTCCCTGTGGACACCTGCCGAGGCCGGCTGTGGTTGTAGCAGTGCTGTAATTCTCAGGCCAGGAGACAAGAGCCAGGTTTGGCATCGGTGGGCGCAGCTGGGAGCTTGCTGCTGGTGGTCCTGCCTGGCCATGGGTAAGGAGAGGCAGAGTACTGCCATCTATTGCCAGGCACTTGGATTACAGACCTTGGTGGGTGGCAGTTCAAAGCTGTGTCTAGTTCTTTTTTGGTTTTTTCTGGTCTTTGGCTCAGTGAAGGGATGGGCATGTTGTTCCAAACCCTTTAAATGGATCAGCATTTGGGTATCTACAGTGTATTTTAGGTGTGTGAGTGCCCTAGTTAGACTCCAGCCTGGGAAAATTTGTTTTTTCTTTGTGCTTTTTGCAAAATGAGTTATTCTTCCTTTCCTGCCCTAAGTTGTGTGAGGTCGCTTTGTGCGGTGAAGCACTCACGTTGCTCCATCCCACACCAGAAGCGCCTAGATCATTTACCCCAGCCCTCCACCAGAAGGCAACTAAAGAGAGGTGGATGCGGCAGAAGGGGCAGAGTGTCTTTCATAGCTCAGAAATTATATGTGAAAGGAGGACGAAAGAGCAATGGGAGGACAGTCTCTTGACTGTCTTCATGGGGTGAGCAGGTCTGGGACACTGCACATTTCTGAGCTAAGACTGGTGTGTCTGAATATTATATTTTTATTTTACAGGATAAGCAGCAAGATAGGAACACTTGCAGAGAGTAAGGAAGGTGTTTGTCATTATGTGAACCTGGAGGGAATCCTGTAGTGCTTTGAAAAGACCTTCTTGGGCTTGATGACTGTGCAGTAGGCCGGCAGACAAAATATTCTGAAGACCAGGGCAAGGTCGTTCAGGAAATGATCTGACTGTCACTGTGGGCTGCTCAGTAAAGACAGCAACTCACTGTGAAACTGTGGTTTAAAAGCAAAACAAAAACCCCCAAATTAGGATAAAGAAGCAATAGGAGAAAAAAATGTGCTCAGCATTTGTTATTAAATGTATCAATAATGCTTGCTCCTCAGGCAAATTCTGCTCCTTTTTGATCACCTACTTTCAAAAGTATATAATGGAGGTACAAAGATACCACAAATGAGCAGAGGTTAAGAATAATACTCGGATGAGAAGGTAAAAAAACGCTTTGTATATTAGACAGAAGAGTCACAGCAGATGTGATTGACCTATCCCACTGGTTATTTTACATTCCTCAATATTCTGTCTCTGATACAAAACTGTTGAGGAAGCCAGTTGGCTAGCCTGAACCAGATACTTAACGTACAGGTGGAAAATGTTAGATGAAATGAGAGTCACAAAGGAAATTAATGACAAAGCAGGGAAATAAACCAGGGTGTCCCAACTCTGAACCCCTGGAAGTGTCTTCTCTTTTAAAAGCCTAAGGAAAAAAGGGATTAAACTGATAAAAGTAAATGCTGGTTTTATTGAAAACATGATTAACCTGTGGAAATCTTCCCTGCTAAGTGTCATCAGTTTGGGAACGCAGTGGGACTCAAAAAAAAGGATTTGACAGTTATGTGAACAACAAGAATACTTCTGATGACTTTGCCTAGGAGAAAACTTTAAAGCATATAAATTGTGCTGCAGGGCATAAGTCAACTGCTGGCTGTCAGGGACCAGAAGAAATTTTCTCAGAGAAGGTTGCTGTATAATTATTTATGACAGTGTTTCTTCCTTTGAAGTGTTTAATCTTGACCAGTGGAGGCAAGATAATGGGTCCTGTAGTTTTGTGAAGTTTTTTTTGTGACAGGGGCATTATCTGGTGCCCGATGGCAATTTTTTCTGCCTGTTTGGTATCACACCTTTCTCCAGGGTTATGTTCACCTTCTTCTTAAATGTTTCAAGCAAAGACGTTTCTGCTCCCTACCCTCCATGAAAAAAATTTTGAAGATGGCAGTCCTTGGCATGAGCGAATTATTCTTGCCATTCATGCTAGACTTTCTCTTGCTCACGTTTGCTCCAGTTGTCCTAGGTGATTGTCCGGGAATGACCTCAAGGAAGCCCTCTCTTGCTGGGGCTGTAGCCCTAGCTCTTGTGTCTGTTCCTGGTTATCATCTGAGCTGTCCATCTATTGCAGTCATGTCTCTCTTGTTCTATAATCTGTTCCTTACCACCTTGGTGCTCTTTGGTCCAGTCTACAAGTTAAATGTGTTATTTTTTAAAGCTGTTTTGCTGCTCTTCCTGGTAACTTGAAGTATTTTGTGTCTCTTTCTTTGTATCTTGCAGGAAGAGCCAAGGAGCAAATCCAAGATCTGTGCCAATGTTTTCTGTGGAGCTGGGCGGGAGTGTGCAGTGACTGAGAAGGGAGAGCCAACCTGCCTCTGCATTGAGGTATGAGGGCAGCACAGGTTCTGCATCAGGGACGGGTGTCACCACCATCACCCCCCGGCTGGGTTTTGGTCGCTGGAAGGATCTCATGACGGGATGAGGCTACGGCTGTTTTGGAGCAGCTGCAAATTCACACTGGCTCTTCAAACAGGAGGGCCTTTCCCAGTGTGGTGTGGGGGAAGAGCCCTGTAGGGTAGATATTGTCTGGGGCTTGCAGCTGTGCTGCTCGCACAACTGCCTAGGGTCTTCACACTCACAGGAGACTTGGCTGGAGGTCTTTTGTTGGGAAAGCCCAGTAGGGTATTGATATGCCGCTAGCTTTGGAGGGCACTCTAGGGAGCGGTCTGCGAGCTCCAAGAAAGCCTGCCCTCACTGGCATCTGGTTTGAGGAGGTTACAAGCACCCTACTAAAAATCAGCTTTTGTAAAATGGAAATAATTGTGGTAGAGTGCTGTGAGGATGAATAGCTCCATCCAGCAGGGAGCCAGAGATGATTAGAAGAGTCTTTCCCAGCTGTAGAGACACACTGCCTCCCTACTCTGCTCTGCCCTGCTTTCAAACCGTTCCTGCCTGGCTCCTGGGAATGGGCATGTGGCTCTTTGTTCCCACTTCCCTCAGAGCCTGCAGCTCTGACGTGGCCAGCCTGGGGACTGGAGAGTAAAATGCCCCGTTAACAGGAAGAGAGTCTGTCACTCTGGGTAGGCTTGGCCAGACTGAAAGGGATGGGAGAAGGAAGCCCACAGCCTGAACAGTGGCACCAGTGAACTCTCCCTCTGCTGTAGGCTGTGCTGTTTGCTTGTGGCTGATGGCTTATTCTGCATTCGGTTACAGAAAGGTGGAGCAGAGTCTACAAAAAGATGCAACAGAGCTGAGCAAGCAGAGGTGCACAGAACAGATTCACAGAAACACCTCCGGGCAGGCATGTCCATGGCACATACAGCAGCAGTTGCAGGATTACGCTCAGTATTTATGCTGGGCACTGATTTTCTCTGCTGGGCTCTGCTTTCGGGAAGGCTCCTGTTGTGGTGGTGGTGACAGAGGCTGGGATAAAGCAAAGCCTTTGAACCCACACCCACAGACTTCCCTGTGCAGGTTTTTCCGGGGTGACGATGGGTGGGTTCAGCCTGTTCCAAACACCTTTTGGGCCAAGGAGGCTGTGCCAAGGGCTTCTGTTGAGTTGGGCTGATGCTGGGACTCACCTGCCTCCCTCTAGCTGTCCCGAAGAGGCAGGTAAAATGCTGTCTTCTCTGGCTTCTCTCACAGCAATGCAAACCTCACAAGAGGCCTGTGTGCGGTAGCAATGGCAAGACGTACCTGAACCACTGTGAGTTGCACCGTGATGCCTGCCTCACTGGCTCCAAGATCCAGGTGGATTACGATGGCCACTGTAAAGGTAACCCCGGCGATGAGGGCCAGCTACACTGTAAGGGAGGGAGAGTCGGAAGCCGAGCATGATAACAAGGCAAGGCAGAGGCTTCACCAGCCAGGACCTTGTCCCACAGTAGCTGAGTGGGATAAACAGGGCAAGCCTGGGAACGGCAGCCAGGTTCAACCAAGAGTCCAGATCACCAGGCAAGTTTGTGGTGATGAAGTAGGCCTGAAGTCAAGCCACAAAATGAGGTCTGGTGACGGTAACCAGAATCGGGCACAGGCCAGTAATTGCCAGACAAGTCTGTAGTGATGCGGTCTATAGCAGGTCTGAGATCAAGGTGGGAAGACAGTCACCAGGTCAGGGCCTAGATCAACAGGGTCTATGGCAGGTATGGGAATGGTTGCGACAGAGCTGGAGACAGGCATACCTACAACGTAATCCCAGCCAAGGGCTAGGGGCCGAGACATCAGCTGAAACGGAGCCCCTGGGCTCATGGGTAGGGAGTGTGGATGGAGGCCCTCATTAGTGTACTCAGAACCCTGACACCTTGGCTGTGGTGGGATCTTGGAGCTATTGTCTCCCTGGGATGCTGGATGAGGGCACTCGGGACACAACTTCTTGCTCCTGCCTGCCTCTCTCTGAGCTCGTGGATTCAGCCAGGCAGGTGTCTCAGTCTACCTGCTGAGGAAAGGTCAGACTCTCAGGATAAACCCCCAAAGCCCATACTGCCATCCCTGTTCATGAGGGACCTCAAGAACTTCAGGAGCAAGGATTTTGTCTCAATGGTAGGGCTGTTTAACTCACCCCCACACCAGCCGCACAGTAAAAAAACCTGTTTCCTTATGTTCAGACAGAATTTCATGTGTATAAATATGTGCCCACTGCCTCTTGCCCTGTCACTGGACACCACGGTGAAGAGTCTGGCTCAGTCTTCTTCATTCCCTCCCATCAGATTTATAAACATTGATGAGATTGCCCCTGAGCCTTCTCTTCTTCAGGCTAAACAGTCCTCAGTCTCCCCTCGGGGCGACAGATGTTCCAGGCCCTCGTGTTTCTGAAGACTCCCAGGTTCCTCTGCTCTTGCCCAAGTGACACCCAGGGTGGGAAGAGGTTCGTATTGCCTCATGTTGCATCAGAAATGTCCTCTTCTGTCTTTCATTAACAGAAAAGAAGTCTGAGAATCCAGCTGCAAGTCCAGGTGAGTCCGTCTCCTTGCATGGCTGGGGCCTCTGTATGCATTTGGGAAAAGAGATGGGGAGGAAGGTCTGCTGGGGGAGTTGCACAGCTCTGTGTCAAAGTCATACCTCTGCACTGGCTGTAGCAGAGCCTGAGTTGATACATCAGCTGAAATGTGATTGCCCAGCTCTTTACTCCTGGGTAACCTTTCAGAGCTCATACATCTCCTGGGCTCTTCACTGTGCTGGGATGTCTCAGGGACTCTGAGCATGTACAAGGTGCAATGAAACCCAGTTTGCCCCTAGGGACACAAGCTGTGTTCATCACAGCCTGAGGGAAGAGACGCGCTTTTGCAGACTTCATTGGGGATCTAAGACACGATAACTGTGGAGCTATGTCCCTAACTCCACGAGCACTCTTTTGAAAGGAGACTTTGCTTCAGGAGTGATTAACTGATGGGTGCAGGGCAGAGAGACAGCACTATATAATGAAGGGCATTGTCTGGGGAGTCAGGAGGTGTAGCTGAACCACCTCTCCCATCAGCCAACAAGTCTCTTTGATTCTCTGTGCCTGGTTTCTTCCCTTATGCATTGCCTCGTGTACTTGGACTGGATTTTGGGGCCATGGCCCGTGCTTCATCAGGGGACCCTTTTCCCATCCATGGCCTCTAACTGCTGGAGCTGTATAATCATCAACTTCAGCTTCCCAGGACAGATGAGAGGAAACCCTCATACAGGCTTAAGGGAGAGGACCGTGTCAGGGCATGGCCACCACCTCAAAGCAGTTTCGGGGAAGTTCAACATTAAACATGCAGAATCCCTACGGCTTTTTATTTCATCTGTCTGTCTGGTCGTGACTGTAGTCACTGGATTCGGAAGGAGATCCTTGGTGTGTGTAGGCAACACAAATGCACACTGACTCCCCTTCTGGCTTGATTGACCTCTGTCTGGGTGGGTGTGACGACTCACAGAAGCGAGAACATCTAGGGTTTCAGTTCTGCTTCTAAATACGTTGTTCAGTATTAGCACACAAGGTGATGCCCACCTAGAGAAACCTGTGACTATGGAGAGCGCTGTGAACAAGCCCAACTTAATGCCCTCTCGTTTCCAATCAGAGTGGGCAAGTCGAAATCTCCTGAGATAGTAGGCTCTAAAATTCAAGTCTTGGGGACAGCGGCTTGCTCAGTCTAGTCTTTGCCCTTGCACAGGATGGAAGTTTTGGTACTTGACATCGGGAAGCCTGGGAACACTGTCCAGGGCCAGTCAGTCACCTTCCTCCCTCAATCTGGAGACTCTTCACACCAAGACGAGTCAGCCCCGGGTTGTTATTCCGCAAGCTTTGAGGACTGGAAGGCAGAAGGTGTTTGGCAGGGGTGTCATTTTCTGGCTTTGCCACACGGTGTCACCCACAGCCCATCTGCCGTTTAGCACATGGCGCCCCTGCTTTGATCTGGCCCTGGAGCATCTCCAAGGACCAAGGACAGAGGGGCCTGCAACCTGCCATCAGGGCTGGTGCGCTGGCTTTTATTTCCAGTCGTTTCTCTGTGGTCTCCCTGCCAACTTCATTTCTCTCATCCTTGCTTTTTCTTCCGCTACACCTTCTCCCATGACAGTCGTCTGCTATCAGTCGGACAGGGACGAACTTCGTCGCCGTGTCATCCAGTGGCTGGAAGCTGAGATTATCCCAGATGGCTGGTTTTCCAAGGGCAGCAACTACAGCGAAGTCCTGGACAAGTATTTCAAGGCAAGTAGAGCAGTGCCTGCCTCGGAGGCCAGAGAACATTTCTTGCCCTGTCACTGCAAAGCAGCTTCCATGTCTCCAGCCAGGAGGCTCCAGTGTGTGATGGGCCTGTGAAGCAGGGGGCCAGAAAGCTCTGGTATGTCCTACAGTATGATGTGTTACAGGCTGCCTGCAGCAGCTGCTGACAGAGCCACTGACATGGCTATGGGACAGCCCAGAACTGGAGCATCCCTGTGGATCTGACCTGCCCTGGGAAAAAGGAGGAGGGCAGGCCAGGTGTGCCTGTGGCAGGGGAGAGGAGAACTGATCTCAGGGCACAAAAGATAGCCAGAGGAGAAAAGATGGGTGAAAGTGCTGGAAATGGAAGTAGAAGGAGCAGGAAGCCAGGGCAGAGGCTGCTGATTCTTTGTTCCAGACGGTCCCAAGGCCATGTTGAGGTGGGGATAGGGGACACTTGGGGGCTTCAAGCGGAATATTTGCTTGCAAGTAGTGAGTATGACCTAGTTGTGGCCAAGAGCTGGCGGTTCCCTAGTGCTCTGCAGAGAGAGAGGAGCCAACCGTGTGTGTCAGGCCCTGCAATAATCCCGTTCGTCTTCCCTCCTCCCTGTCAGTCTGTCCCTCAGCCCATCCCCACCTCCTTTTGTAACCAGCAGATCACACGCTTCTCCCATGCTCCTGCCACATGCACTGCTTCGTCCCTCCCCCTCACGCCCAGCTCCTGATAAAGACTTCAAAGCATTCAGGGTGGAGCTGGAGGAGCAGGTGGGGAAAGGGGGAGAGTGTTTAAATCATAAGCTGTCGACAGCAAGAGATTAATGGTGCCTGACAGGAGTTAGCGCTGCAAGCAAATTTGCCATGGCAATGGCACCCCCTGGTGAGACAGAGGAGCTGGTCCCTGCGCTCCAGAGAGCATCTTTGCCTTTGTAGCCATTAATGCTGCTCCGTCTGTGGAAACCCACTTGTGGCCTACTGCCTCAGGCACCCCCGCTGGCACCCGAAAGCTGCAGCATCCTGCAGAGTAGAGCTGCTCAGTCCCTCCTCCTGCAAACATGCTGTCCCCAGCCGCCTTCACGGAGAGCCTCCCCAGACCATGGGCTTCACTGAAACACATGAGCCAGCCACGGTCTTTCTCCACCGCCACGGCACAGCCTGGTCACCCCTGCCAGCCCCATGCCTGTTGGGGCGGTGGTGAAATCCCGTGGCCGCAGCTCAGAGGCAGACAGCTTCATGTTCTCTTTACTGTCCCTCTTTTTCTGGAGCACTGATCCCAGGCACAAGTGGGTGAAAGTTTCCATGACAAAGCTGTACCTTTTCTCAGACCAAAGGGGGAATTTCCTTCTCTGTCAGGTGGTAATCCACCATATCAACAATCCTTAAAGCTTTGAAATACTTTTAAAGCAGAATTCAGAGCTTGGAATAACTTGGGACAAATCCAAGCAAAGCAAACTAAATTGGGTTCAAACACACACTAATGTGTGTCACCAGTGAGGGTCCACTGTCACTGGAGGAATTCTGCTGTGCCCAGTCCCGGGGCTCTGCACGCCTGCCCTGCAAATGGCCTGATTCCTGCCCTGCAGGTAATAAACACTGGAGACAAAGATGACATGAAGCTTTTCCCTTTTCTCCTTGATGGGGAGGTTTGTAGATGCGTCATTAAGCTGTTTCCCTCCTGGAAGCCGGACTTGTGTGGATCACTGGGATGTGGGTTGTACATCAGGCAGGCCATGACCTTGAAGGACATTATTTCAAGAGGAGTGAGGCTGGTAGTGGGAAGCTTCTCTGTTTTGGAGGGTCTCTGGGGAAACATGTAAATGCAGACCATAGCATTGAAAGGCAAGAAAACTAACTGAACTGAGTCTGGGTCATTAAGGGAATGGCGGCCACTTTCACAAGAAATAGCGGGACAAGAGGTTTCAAAGTCTAGTAGAAGTTGAAACATGTTAGTGGAGCAGTTATATGCAGGCTACAGCACACAGAGTAATTTTCCTAGCCCTACAGGTTTCTCCTGAACCACATAGAGGTAAAAACAGGCAGTGTCTCTTCCAGCATTCCTGGAAGCACGCGCAAGGAGACACAGTGACCTGCCCCAAGTCACACAGCAAGAATTAGCCAGCAGCAGTCTGTGTGCAGAATTCATTTTCCCCTCACTGCAATGCAGCTGTCTCTGAGGGGGCCCAGCAGTTCCTGCTGAGTGCCCAGCGCTGTGATATGACATCTCCAAACAGGAGAGCAAAATGCAATTACTTCTTTGGGAGTACAGCCAGGATTCGGGGCTAAAAATTCTGCTTTTCAGTGCCAGGAGTCCTGTCAAGACCTTAAGAAGTTGGTGGCAATGCGTTGTGCTGTTGCATTAAATTGTTCCTTCTTTGGGATCAGCAGAAAATTGCTTCCTGTGATTTTCCCTTTTGTCACTGTCACAGTCTAGGCACAGCTTTGGATTTGCACATATTGGAAAGCTGACACCTCCTTGAATGCAACTGGTCTGCTTTAAGGCAGGAGGTATATAAGAAGGCTAAGAGCTGGCTGGAACAAAGAGAAGAAATGGGGTTAGAGCCATAAATCAAGCAGCAGGAGGTGAATGAGAGGCAGTGTAGCTTATCAGTGAGAACAAAGCTAGGATCGTGTCTCCCAGTTTTGATGCTAGTATGAATATGTTGCTGCTTTTCTCTGAGCCTCTGTCCTTCGTGCAAAACAGGGATGATGCAACCTGTTTCACTGAAGCTTCAAACATGCTAAGTACATATGGAAGGGGGAGAAGGAAGGGCTACCCTGAACCGATAAATCAGACCCTCTCACATCCTCCCATCTTCCCCTATAGAGCTTTGACGATGGTGATTCTCGCTTGGACTCCACTGAATTCCTGAAGTTTGTGGAGCAGAATGAGACTGCTGTCAACATCACCACCTACATGGACCAGGAGACCAACAAGCTGCTCAGGTGGGCAGTGGACAGGATGCCAGAAGGAGGGCCCGGGGGCCAGATGTGGTAGAAGGGGGCATGAAAATCCACTCATGGAAAATATCAGTTAGGGCTTGCACTGACAAAGATAACTGTGCATGAAGTGGCTTCTCACTTAGTTAAATAATTAATCTCACTTAATTAATAGGTGTGAATACGGGCAGAAGGAGCAGTCCCACCCCTACCCTTCACGTTAGCCATGTATTCCAACCTTCTTTTGCTTTATATCTTACAGGTGTGCAGCCAGAAGGTGAGTTGGGTGACAGAAAATTTGTTGTCTTTTTTATTTCCTAATAAATCAGATTTCCAGTGGACCTTACTCACCTTTTGCCTGATAGCTAGATCCAGTGCAAGGAAGATGGTAGGAAAACACAGCTCATGGGCAGCCTGCAGTTAGAGCTCGTGCAAGCATCGCATAAAAACATAGTTTGAGAGGTTTCCCTTTTTCTGTGTGTCTGCCACTGTGTGAAACAATGAGGAGAACAGGCTGCTTGTGGTTAGCTGTGCTTGCATCTCTACCTGTGTGACAGCATGTAGATGTCAACAGGGTCCTATTCCTGCGGTTCCGAATATCCCCCCATTTCCTGGCCCTTTGCCAGACAGGGAGTATTTTGTGACTGTTTTTCTTTTGTCTGTATCCATTGAGGTTTCCGTACAGAAGCCATTTCTGCCAGGCATCTCAGAACCTTACGAGTTATTACTGGTTTTACTCATCTGTGCTCTGAAGCCAATAGAGCAGGAACCAGCCTAGTACAGCCCCGTACAGAACATGCCACTGTGTTTCCTTTCAGGGGACTCTGCGTAGATGCCCTCATCGAGCTGTCAGATGAAAATGCTGACTGGAAGCTCAGCTTCAGTGAATTTCTCAAGTGCCTCAGCCCATCCTTCAACCCACCAGAGAAAAGTAGGAACTCCTTACTTGTATTGGGGAACCAGAGGGGTCCTGGGAAGGGAGGAAAGAAAAGAGACCAGCTTTGGGCCAGACATCGGATGCTGTAACTCCACTCCCAGAGATAATGTTGATATACGCTACCTCCCATCTGACAGCACCCCTTGTCCCTGCATTGTCAGAAGTACTGCTTTTTCTGTCCCAGAGCTCCCACAGCTCTTGTGATGAAAAACATTTGGATCTGAGAAGCAAGGGCGTAGGTTAAATGGATATGGTATGCTTGGAAGGTCAAGGCATGTATTTAGCAGTGTGGAGATAAATCATGTGAGGAGTTCATGTCTAGATAACTTAGGAAAGTCAGACCAGACCAAAGTCCTGCTATGCTTTGCCTTTCACACAGAGACCCTCCCTGATGAACATCTCAAAGTTCACTATCCTTCCAAATCCTGCTTAGCGCTACAGTTCACGTGGAAGCAGCTTAGTGTTCTGCTGATCAGGCGTGCCTAGCTATTCATCTAATTGTCTCCTCAGGGGCTGCCGGTCCAAAGGTGCCAGATTTACATCCCACTGCGGTGGCACCAAGGAGCAGACAGAGGCTATGCTTCGTAGGGAATATTAAGGTGAACTCTCTGCTGCCTGTTTTAGTGGGAAGCGAGGGATGCTGCACCTCCCCTGGAAAACACGATCAGCTGGTTTTCACTTAACACCATACAGGCCCTTGAATGCTCTGGGGGCCTCGACTTAAACATACAATAGAGCTTTGAGGAGAAATGTGAGCTGAAATGAGAAACCTTTTTTTTTCCTTTCTTTCTTAGGGCTACGGCAAACACACAAATCATTTCCCCAACTTCTCCCCACCCGGAAGAGCAATTGTTTCAGAGTAACCAAAACTTTCACTTTGGGGGTTCTCTTCTATGTATAACAGATTAGGAAATACAAACAAATCCAATATTGAGATTTCATTTGGTATTGAGAAATTGAAATGTGTTCTTCTGAGGAAGCAAAATGAAGTGTTTGACTTTCTCAAATTATGTTTTGGCTGAGTTCACACACCAAATTCAGCATGAATGTTTTAGTCATTATGAAACTTCTGGTGGTTAGGGGAAGGAAGGCCTCCCCCAAAACTGTGTACCTCTTCTCTCTCTCAAGGCTTCTCCAAAGTATGTTGTCTTTAGTCTGCTCGCTATCTCACAACCACTGCCCTTGTTTTGTGCCTCTTTAGAGTGTGCCCTGGAAGATGAAACCTATGAGGATGGAGCAGAGACCCAGGTGGAGTGCAACCGCTGCGTCTGTGCCTGTGGGAACTGGGTGTGCACTGCAATGACATGCGAGGGTCTGTATGCTCTCTAGGCAATTACTGTACTTGGTTTTGTACAAAAAGGGGTTTTGCTTTTTATCTTTCGAGGGCACTAGCTATCCAGATTTCTTCTCTCTCCAGCTTTTCCTCAGCTTCTCTATGGGTGGCTTCTGCATCACCCTCCCTGTGCTCCGTGTTGGCCAAACCCAAGCTGGTTCTGTTCTAGAGGCCAGAAAATGTGTAACTGGGTTGGAGGCAATGCTGCTGGGGTTTGTAGTTTGGATTGGTGTCATGAAAATTCAGCACCAAATCTTTCAGGCCAGAGCTACTCTGCATCCAGCTGGCTTGGGGCATGCACAGGCCGAACAGGTCACTGTCTGCAACCATACATGTAGGTGTAAGCAAGTCAGCTTTCCTGTATGTGTGTCAGTATCCTCACTGTATCTGTGTTTATGGTATCTGTAAAGCAGGAGCTAGGGTCCTGCCTTGCCCCCCAGGGGAGATAGGAGACTTCATCCAGTAATGCCAAGAAAGCACTTTAGCTTCTTGCCATAAAAACTGTAGAAGAAAATAATGATGATGGAGATGAAGGGAGGTGGTGTTCATAGTAAGGCAGGCTTGTTAGTCTGTCTGTTCTGCCTTTGGAAGGCCTTTCTTCAACTTTCACAGCCATGTTACAATTGTGAGAAGTCACGGTGGGGTCGTCAACATCGGCTCTCCGTTTTGCCTTCTCACAGACGGTCCAGGGCCAGTGTAAAGCCAGCTTTCCCCTGCCTTGGGAAATGTACGAGTCCTTTTCAAGGAGCCATGTCCACTCTCCCAGCACTGCGCTGCATTTTACTGGCCTTCTTCCCTAGAAACCAGGCCTTTGCTTGAGCTTTGTTTTCAGTGGTGTGCAGGAGCTGTCAGCACTACATTAGTTCAGATCTATAGCCAGTAGTTTGGGCAGAGGAGAGAGGGGAACGGCAAGAGGTACGTACAGAGTTTTTTACATTTATCTGGCCTTCTGCAGCAGAGGTTTTGGGATCACCTCAGACCAGACTTGGCTGTGGCAGCCGAAACTCACCTCAGAAAAGATAACTGTAATACTGATAGAGCTGCCAGAGGAGCTGTGAGTAGGTCTCAGAGGTTAAGCAACCAAATGAGAGGCTCTTTTTGTTGCCTCCCCAGAAACAACCTTCAAAGTTGCTATGCAACACCCGGTCTTGCTGTCTACTTTGTTCCCTGCATCCATGGCAGAAGCATGCAATGGGACAATTCCTTGACTTTCTGCCCATGTCTGAGCAGCAGAGGGGTTAGAGGCTATTGTTAGAGGGATAATGAAACCAAAGACTCAGATCAGATACATCAGCAAGCTGCATCTCCACTGAGCTAAATTACCTCTTCATTAGGCGTCAGTTATTGTACTTGGATAGCACTGAGCTTCCATTTGTTCCCTACAAGAGGCCAAGATGTTTGAACTAATTATAGGTGCTTCTTTTAAATAATATGCAGCCTCTGCCATGTGGTTTTATTATTTATCACATGGGAGGGAGAGATGGGGACAGACTGGATACACAGGTTCTGAAGTCCCAGGCAGCCACAAGGCCCATTCTCCTTCTAGGAAGCCAACCCACACCTTCCTCCAGCAAAGTCTTCCTAAGCTTGAGGTGTGCTGTCGCCGACCTGCCTCTTTTTGTTCTACGTGGTTCAGCCTCTGAAATTTGCATCCCTTATTTGCGATAACACTGAACTCCCTTTCTGTTTGCAGGGAAGAATGAGAAGGTGCCTGCTCAGAGACAGCGACCTGATCAAGACTTGACTGAGGAGGAGCTGGCTAGATACGTTCAGGAACTGCAGAAGCATCAGGTTAGCTTGAGGCTGGGAAGGTCTGCTTGCACTAAGCGTCTCCTTGCTTAGAGGGTTCCCTCTGCTTCTGTCACTTGGAGACTTCTGGTGGAAGGGGGAGCACAGTAAAGGGGGATCTCTGTTGCCTGTGGGGACAAATACAGGTGTGAGGCTTTGAGGTGTAAGCCAGTGTCGGCGCTGCTTGTGGATGAACCAAAGCTTTCAGGGCACTGCCAGCTCCTGCGTCAGTGCGGAGCTTCACTTTTGTACTCTCTTTCTCCAGGAGACGGCCGAGAAGACCAAGAGAATGAGCACCAAGGAGATGTAAGGGGCCTCCACACTGGAGGAGCCCAGGAGGATGGGCCCAACCTGCCACCCTGTCCTCCAGTGCTGATCTCAGTATGCACAAGTGTCTGCTACAGTTGCCCAGTCACAGATATTTACATTGTATAGCGATGGGTTATTTGTTTTGTAATACACAGAGAATGGGGCCAGGAAAGGGGAGCAGAGCCCACCTGTTCAGGGAGCTTTACTGCTGGGGCCTTGGAAGGCTGGGAGGGACTTAGAGCAGCCTCTGGGACCCTTTCCCAGGGCAGACAGCTGCTCCCTCCAAGAGCTAACAGGGTTTTCTTGTTCCCCTGGATCTGGGGAAAGGACGGAGGTCAGTGCTGGATAGAAAAGGGGGTCTTCAATCAATACAATTGTCGGCACCGGCCTTGGCTGCAGAAATACAGGCCCGGCAGTTTTGTGGCTGAGCACGTGTGCTGCAGGGCATCATTAGCCAAGGACCTTGCCCTGCTTACCCTCCCCTTTGGTTCAGGCTCCTCAAAGTTGGTCAGCCTGGTGTGACACCTGGAAGTCGTGGTGCCATGCTGCTGGCATGAGTCCAGCACGTTCCTCCTTGCTTTCCACCGGACTGTCCCCAGCAGCTCCTCCAGTACATTGTGGGCTCCAACACAACATGGTTCCTTTTGACCTCATCTCACTCTTACTCTCCCTGCCCCCTCCTTAGAGGTGCTAGCATATTCTTTTCTTATCACATTCACATGCTGACTCCCCCTCTTGTTTTGTTTTTTTTTTTTTTATTACTTTATTTCCTATGGTAGTAATTCAGCTTTTGTATGTTTCGTAGCTCTAGATCTTTCAAGAAAACCCAGCCTGTGGGTTTTTGTTATTGACAGTGCTGTAATGCCCATGCACAGTTTGTATCGCACTGCGCTCGGCCACCGCAAACACCACAAGCAATTTGTGAGCCCTGCGCTACAGGGTATTTCTCAACTGGGGATAGCAGTGTCCCTCATGGGAAGAAGAGACAGGGCTGGATGTAATTAGTTTCACCAGGCACAGATTGACACTGCAGCTCTCTAGCTCTTGCTCCCTTAGCTAGCGTTGACCATGTGCTCAAAGTCCGTGCTCATGCCTCTCTAAATTTCCCAGAGGGGAGTGCCAAGTAGTCCAGAGACAGAGGGACCAGGCAATCCCATTAGCAGGGTATCTTAAAAGGCTTAACTACGTAAAAAACTGTTTAGTTGGAGTCAGGGCTGTTAGCCATCATCTTGGGCTTTCCATCTCCCTCTGGGGTAAGGCAGCAGCATTATTCTTTGATTCCAGGTCTGAGTTTGGAGTCAGGGCTGGAAGCCTCATTACTGACGCATTTCATGATGTCTTTGATCAGACTGTCTTTTACCAACCTCGCATCCCTTCACGGGTCATTTTTGTCTGACCCCTTTCTCAGAGCATTGGTCCTAGATATAAATGAAATGCTGTTCTGTTGACAATCACCTCTGTAGCCTCCAGCCGAGCTGATTTTCTCCTGCAGTTGTCAAATGTACTTCATACGCTCACAGGCCTGAACCTCCAGCTTCCGCGTTCCCTTTACGCCCCTGCTGTGCATCCCAAGCAGTTGCATGTACCCTGAGATGACTGCTTGTGACTTCCATCTTCCTGTTTGTGAGCAACTTCAGCAGTTGTTGCCAGGTGTCTTGCAGTCCCTAGTGCTTACTCAAGCAAAACTCCACATGCATCTGCAAAAGAATGTTCTGCTTGAGTGAAGATCAGCAGGACTTTTGTCCCAACCTTCCCCTTTTTGCACAGTGCTTTCCTTGGAGAGGAAGAATGAGCTGGTACCTAGCAAGCGTAGGAAAAGAAGAAAGCCTGGTCCCTCCTGTGGTCTCACCCATGAGCCAGATTTGTTAAAAGCTGTCTGGTCTTTGAGCTGTTTTCCCCGATGTGAATCCAGAGGACTTCCACTGACTTTGGCACAGTGCCACATTTCCAGTGAGAGTCATACTCGACCCTGCCATGCTTGGAGGTTTTGGCACAATACATGCAGAAGGGGGCTGGTTCTTCTCCCATGAGGGTCTGGATTTGAGAAGCTGTCACCTGTGAAGGTGAGGGGGATGTAGACAATGCTACACTGGGACGGGGTCATTGTTTGTGTTCTGGTGGCACTGGATGAAGTGGTTGGTGGAATTAGGAGCACCCATCAGACATAGCCTCGCTCCTCCCCAACAGTATGAGTGAAACAGCTTCATGTGCTGGATCTGGAGTCACAGGAACATTGTTCATAAATGTGTTGCTTTATTCCAACCCTGCTTTGAAAGGTAGTTCGTGCCTCCCAGCTCGCTTCCTTCCAGCTTGGATCATTAAAGTGCCTTAGAGAAAATACAACAGCTTGCCTTAAAGGCTTTCCCTGGATGGAGATAACATCTTATTGTCCAGTCAGGAAAATCTCCAACTGGGAGAAGCAGAGCACCTGCAGGAAGGGGAGGCTAATCCATGGCTGAAGGGCTTCTGTAGACTGCATTACGCGATACGTTCTCTAGTCCCCTTCCTGTCTCCTGTGGATGTGCACTCTACAAGGATGGCTGCTGGGGACAGCTGGAGAGGTCAGTGCTGGCCTTGAGGTTTACAGAGCTTGCGCTTGCACTGACGGCAGAGGGATGAGCTGCTATCTTGGGCAAGGCAAGCTGAGCTCTCTGACAAGCCATACAACAGATCCTAGGATAGCCTGGGGCAGCGGGGTAGGAGTGCGGTGAACGTGCCTCCGCGGAAAGGGCTGCCACGTGCGGAGCCTTTTCCTCCTTCCGCCCTCAAAGGGAAACACAGCTGTGGAGAGCGATGCCGGCACTAAGGGCTACGGTACCCAAAGAGGACCGAAACATCTCGCCTCCCCGCACTGAGGGGAAGGGCAACCGTTCGGTGAGCGATGCCCAGACTGTACCCTGCAGCAGGCTGGTCAGTCGCTAACTTCTGCTGGGTGACTTGGCTGCTGGGGAAGGAAGTGCTGAATTCCAGCCATTGCCCTCTGGGACAATTGCTGTACAGACTGCAAGGGGCAGGGAAGGCAGGTTTGGTTTTGTTTTGTTTTGTTTTTTCCAAAAAGCCAAATTTAAGCAACAAACAAAGAAGTCCCACTCCTCCCTCTATATTCCCTCCTGTACGTGTGTGAAATTTATCAGTATTCTGTAGGTTTCCTTAGTGCACTTATTTTACTTGATTTTGTAATTTTTTTGAAGCAGGGGGGTTTGGATATTACTGCCAAATAAATGAAACAAAATTTAAAAAATAACACGTGGATTTTTTTATTTCTCACAAGCCATATACCTCATTTTCCTCTTAAAAAAAAACAAAACAGCTATCTTTCTGCACACCCCATGATGGCATTGATACACAGATCTCGAGGCATTTGACAAACGTGAGACATGACTGTCTCTGTTTTATAGCTGGGGAAACCGAGGTACAGCAGAGAGGAGTGGGAAGTCGCAATCACGTGGCGAGCCAGCGACAGAGATGCAGCCGGCAGCCACGACTTCTGCCTCCCAGCCACGCACTCCAGAGGGACACAGGTGGTGAAGTATGGGGCAATTGCTCTGTCCCGTGTGGCATCGAGGGAGCCTCAGCTGGAGTACCTTCTGGTTTGGGCAGTGCCTTTCACAAAACGGGTGGATCAGGTGGAAAGAACCCAGAGGCAAGTAAAATAGCTAAAGGCCTCAAAAACATGACTTACAAGGACAGATCAGAAGCCTTACGCACAGTTAAGAAGGAAGGCTCTAGCTGTCTTCAGGTGGAGACTGCTACCAAAATGAACATACCCATCTCGCTGTGGCGGATGGGACACTAGCTTCAGTTGCGGCAGCCAGGGCAGATCTAGGTGAGATGTCAGGGAATGCTTTTGAATGTCAAGGTTAGCAAAGAACTGGAAGACACTTCCATGATATTTCACAGACTTCGTCCCTGTATGGGTTTTAAGAAAAGACTTGAGTAACAGCTATCGGGAGTAGACCAAGTATAGCTGATCCTACCCCAAGATGGGAGAACAGGGGGGTGACCCTCCCGAGGTCCCGTCTGTTTCTGATAGGACCTTACGAAGACAGGGCTGAATGGCTAATGTCATCTTTGCTGAACTGAATGATGAAATGGCCTTTAATGGTGTCGTGTAACAGGAGGATAATGTCTTACCATTCATCTCCCCTGTAACTGTAATGGACTTAGCAACTTCTACTACCATGAGCTCTTCTGTGCAAATGACAGTCCAACAGAAGAGAAGGCTGCGTTCCTTTGTTTCACTTGGTACGCTCCTTCCAAAGCTGTTTAAAAAAAAAAAAAATTGCCTCTTATATGTTACTTTTCACACCAAATGGCCTCTTCAGCATGTACCAGCTGCTGCATAAACAGTCTTAACTGTGGCATTCCCAGCCCATTCACTGCTCAACTGTAAAGTGGGTCTGCTTTATTACTTTAATTTCTACGGCTAGAATTTCCCAGGATTTTAAGAAGGAATGAAAGGACGACGTGTCAGCCAAGAATTTAGCTAGATGGCACTATACTTTGCCTTGTGCATCATGCATACTTACTGAAGCAAAATTACTTTGGGGTGGGAGAGAGGAAGAGCAGGAAGGCTGTGGTCCACCTCTAGCAGAGGCCTGGCAAAAACTCTGACCTGTTTATGGAGTTAAGCACATACAAGTATTAACGAGTTGCTGCACTGTGTAACTACATGCACTTAATCGCTTCACAATTCTCCAGGACTGTTAAGCTTCAAACTGAGAAATATGCTATTTACGTGGTTGATCAAGACTGAACTGCATTTGTAAGGTATTTATTAACTTTAATTCTGAAGATGAGAACAAACTAACCTATCATAAGACTCAGTTCCTGAAAAAAATGAACTGGTTCACAGGACACAACTTTGGGAGAGCACAGGCTCAGAGCACTGCAGGAGGCAAGAGCAAAATCCAGATGACCTTGCTCTTGTGCTTACATAAACCCTCCCACAAACTATCCCGATCCAGCTGAAACAGTGCAACCTCTATAGAGCAGGCAAAATTATATTGAAATAACTGTACTGGTACAGTGTCTACTCTTACACGGCTATCTCTGGGTTCACATCAGGGGTTGCATCTGTGAATCCGTAGAGACTTATAGAACAAATGAGACAAGTCCAACAGAAGGTGACCTTTTCATTCCCACCCACCATGGCACACCATTTCTTGAAGGCTGGGCACAGCCTTGACAAATCCCTGCTTATGGGAACGGGAGCTGTCACTTCAAAATATTTGTAGTGGTAAAATCCAGAGTTTGTAGGAGCGCCAAGGGAAGGACAAATGCACCATGGGTTTCGTCCACAGTATTCTGGACACCTTCAAAGTCAGCACTGTTACTGCTTCACGCATTGTTTTTAAGCTCTTGGCTGGTACAAGCCAAGCGTGGTTCGTTTGCGTTTCTTCCACTCTAAGATGACAGAGATTTGGGGGTATATGAAGTGTTTTAAGCGGGTGGAAGATCGCCACTCCCTTCTTTCGGGTTCTTCTATGCATCATAAGGAAGCAAGTCTGTTTCTTAAGCCCGGACTTTGTCAGGGCAAAAGTTCCCTTGGGCTGTGAATCTTCTCATTGTCATGAAACACGGCTGCTGCTTCTTCCAGCAGGCGATTACTGATTACACCGCCATTAAGCTGTGTCCAAAGGGCGATGAATTGGAATCCCAAATCCCGAGTTCCCTCTTCATATATGGTACAACCCGAGTCAGCTCCGTTATCAATCCGTAACCTGCATCAGGCCTCTCCGCCTGACAAGACCCAACGTGTTAAGTGGATTAACTCCTGCCAACGGCCTAGCTCACGATCAAAGCTGTCTTTTCACATCCAGACAAGGAGATACGCCGAGGTGCCTCTGAGAAGGCTCCTCTGGTTTGGTGCCTCACCAGCAGCAGGTCCGCAAGGACCAAAGCGGACAAAACCCCGGACAAAACCCGCAAGGCCGGGACGCCATGGGCCAGGCCCCGCCACCGGCAGTCACCACAGAGAGAGGCCTTGGGGTGCTGGGGGGGACGGGAGGGAGGGGGCAAAGCGCCTTTTCTCCGGGCTCTGAGGATGAGTGAAAAGGCGAGGAGGGAGGTTATTTTTTTAATTTTCCCGTTAGAGGGACTCGGAGCTTTCGCGTCGCCCGGCGCCAGCGGGGCGCGGGGGTGCCAGGCTCCTCTCCACAGCCGCTGCCCCGCTCCGCCCTTCTCTCTCATGCTCGCTTCGGGGCCGCGGCTGGGCCCGCTCTCTTCGCCTCCCTCCCGCCGGCGCCCCGCAACCTGCATAAGAGCGCTCGCCCCTCTCCGGCCCCGCGTTGGGGGGGGG